CCAGCTATAAGCTGGCAACAACACCGAGGCCCAGTGAGTTCCAGTAGGTCCAGGGGGGGGGGGGCAGCCCCAAGCGGGGGGGGGGGGGCAGCCCCAAGGTGGGTGGAGGGTGCAGCCACATTTACCAGTCCAGTCCTGTGACCCCACCCCCACTCCTTACCCAGTCTGCTGCAGACCCTCAGCACACAGTTCAGGCAGGCACCAGATCAGACCCAGGGTGGGCAGCCCTGGACCTACCGCCTGGTGCAGTTGGCAGACCTACTGTTGAACCGCAGCCGCAATGTGGCCACCGTGACACCCTTCACTACGCAGCAGCGCCAAGCCTGGGACCGGTGAGGGTGGGATTTCCAGGGGCTGGGTGGGGCACTCTGACTCTGGGGTGTGAGTGGCAGCGGTGGCCTGAGGACTTGCCCATCTCACTCCAGGATGTTGCAGACTGTGAAGGAGCTGGAGGCCCGCTCCTCTGAGGCGAGAGCCGCTGCCTTCCAGCACCTGCTGCTCCTGGTGGGCATCCACCTCTTCAAGGTACAGTAGCCTGCAAGGAGGGGCTTGTGAACCTGGGGTTCTAGGGCATGACAGGCTCCCTACTGAGAGGCTTATGGGCTATATGCGTGGCCAGGGGAGGCTCTGGGAAGTTGAAGTTAGAAGGTTTCTAACCTAGGCACACCTGGGTGGAATGACCACACAAGGGAAAGTCATAAGAAAGTACTTAACCGGGTACCAGCCAGTTCCTGAGCTCTCCATGCAGAGCTCTTACAATTCCCACAACTTGGAGGTAGGTACTTCTTCCCCATCCCCATGTTTGACAGGTAGGGAGATTGAGGCTCAGAGAGGCAAAGTAACTTGCTCTGTGCCACACAGCTATTGCCTGGGACTCAGAGGACCCCACAGGACCTCCCAAAATGTGCTTTACTGACCAGAGGCGATGGGTATGAAGGAGAAGGTGGGGCCCCCATGGAGGGAAGCACCTGTCTCCCACGGGGGCGCCTCCTCTGTTACTGGGTAGTCGGTTACAAGTGGGGTCCCACTGTTTATATTTAGTTCTCACACAGAACCAATGGTATGGTTGAGGGGAGTGTTTTTTCTCTCTGTGGATCCCAAGCATGGGGTTTTGGGCCCCGTCACATTATATGTCACACTCTGTCAGATTCTGTATCTCAAACACCTTCTAATGATGGGTTCTCTGGAACCATCATGTCACCCTTTCTGTTCTCCCCACCAAGAGGCCTTGAACACGTTTGAAGCTCAGTGTCGACAACACTTTTGACCCTTGTGTTTTTTTTTTTCTTGATTCCAAAACCTGATTTCTTGGAAAGTTTTCTTCTCACGTTGCATGAGGCTCTTACCAGGGTTGCTCAGGTCTTAAGTAACCTGAGTCAATGGCTCCCTTCTCGCCACTTGGCTGGGATTTTTGCTTCCAAGCGTTGGGCACTCTGAGAGCCCAGCCTGTGGACAAGTTGTGTGGGTAGAGCTTGGCCACCATGCACCTTCCAGAGCTTAGCAGTGGGGCTTTGATGGCAGCAGATCCTGGACACTCACGCAGAGCCCACCCTAGGCCCTGGGTTCTCTGAGCTTGATTGACTTGGATGGAGGAGGCTGTAGTTCAGGGTGTGTCAAACACTTGGATAAAAGGTGCAGTCCAGAGAAGGACAGGGACCTGCCTGGTCATACAGCCAGGGAGCTGGAGACCAGTGGCCTGGGCTTTGGGCTCCTATTCTGGCCATCTTTCTACTATCCCTGGCCTAAACATTGAAGCTGCCCACTGCATTCTGAGGGAAAAGTCTGCCTTGTAGGTCCCAGAGAGCACATGGAGTGTTTTCAAGAGGACCGTCTACCTCACTGGCTGGTGGCCAGAGTCTGCTCATCCCCAGCAAGATGGATTTAAGTTTAAACTAATTAAAATTAATTATGTCTAATGCTAAGCCAGGTGTCAGGGGAACAATCTAGAGTGGCGATTGGGAGGCTGGTACCTGCTGGCTTCTTTGTGACTCTGACCGTCCTTGTCAGGCTCTGCATCTGTGGGTGTCAGTCAGGAAGCTGGGCCCCATGTTGCCTGAGTCATTTCTTGTGACTATGTATTAGGCATAAGGAGGTTATCAGCTCTTGGACCACCCCTGGGGTCTGGCTGGGGTATTTCATTCTGGATGGTGAGGGTGACTGGCCAGGGCAGGCCAGCGGCCAGAGTATTCAAGGCCCCTGGTGCCAGATGGCTCAGGAGGGCCTGGGAGTGGGACCTGGCCCCTGATTTCTGTCCTACCTACAGTCCCCTGCAGAGAGCTGTGACCTGCTTGGCGACATCCAGACCTGCATCATGAAGAGCCTGGGGGAGAAGACCCGCCGGAGCCGCGCCAAGGCCGTCAGTGGGTCATTGCTCTGTGGCAGGGTGGGCAGGGCATGTCCTGGGGGACAACAGGAACCTGGAGCTGGGTAGCCAGGTTAGCAGCCCTACCCTGGCTCAGCCCTCCTGCGCTTGCAGATTCCCAGGAGCCACCATGGGTGGAGGTGATGGTGGAGATCCTTCTGGCCCTGCTGGCACAGCCCAGCCACCTGATACGCCAGGTGGCCCGGAGCGTGTTCGGCCACATCTGCTCACACCTGACTCCACGTGCTCTACAGCTAATCCTGGATGTGAGTTGGGGCCTTTAGGAAAATGGAAGCTGTCCTTGGGTTACCACATCTTAGGCTCTTTACTGTATTCCTGTGGAACTCTGCTGCTGTGCCAGCCTGTTCAGGGGTCCCAAGGGCTCTGTCAGGGAGGCACTGGCACTGAGCATCGGAGGGTGTGGCTTTCTCTTCTGGGCTCCATTTTCCGCCCTGAAATGGGGGCAGTTGGTGAAGACCAGACGGCCTGGTCAGAGGAGGTGGTCAGGAGGGCCCAGTGACCTGAGGAGGGTTGGGGACCAGGGCAACTAATGGGTCAGTGGTCTGGGAACCCTCCCCAGGTGCTGAACCCTGAGATAAGCCAGGATGAAGATGACAACGTGGTGGTCACTGATTCCGATGAGAAGCAGCTGGAGAATATAGAGGTGCTCACCATCGAGGGCGGGGCAGGGTGGTCAGACACAAGGTGGCCGTGGGCAGGTGTGACACACTTGCCTCCACAGGACCAGAGCGAGGATGACAAAAACTCAGAGACCGAAGAGGAAAGTGAGGAGGAGGAGGAGAGCGAGGAGGAGGATCGCGATGGGGATGTGGACCAGGGCTTCCGGGAGCAGCTGATGGCGGTGCTACAGGCCGGGAAGGCTCTGGTGAGCGGACGCCGGGGAGCCTGTGTGCCTGTGTGTCCTGCCCACCCACTGTCAGGTTGATGGCCAGTCCTCCCTCCCTCAGGGAGGAGCGGACAGCGAGGACGAGGAGGAGCTGGGGGATGAAGCCATGATGGCCCTGGACCAGAACCTGGCCAGCCTCTTTGCCGAGCAGAAGCTGCGCATCCAGGCCCGGAGAGACGAGAAGAACAAGCTGCAGAAGGAGAAGGCGCTCCGGCGAGACTTCCAGATCCGGGTGAGCAGGAGAGCTGGCTGGTGCCCGCCACGCACCCCAGGCGCGCTTCTCTGTTGACTGACTGCCCTCCCGGCCACAGGTGCTGGACCTGATCGAGGTGCTGGTGACCAAGCAGCCGGAGAACCCCCTGGTCCTGGAGCTGCTCGAGCCACTGCTGAGCATCATCCGGCGCAGCATGCGCAGCAGCAGCACCAAGCAGGAGCAGGACCTGCTGCACAAGACTGCCCGCATCTTCACGTGAGCAGCCGGGGGCGCATCTCATGGGCCAGACCTCTGGCCTTGCCCATCTGGACAGAAAGGGTTGGAGTCAAAATTCGGGACATGTGTCACTCTGGAGCTCACACAGTCCTTAATTCATCTACCCATTCTCCTGACACTTAGCACCAACTGTGCCCTGGAGCTGGGGTGTTTGGGCCCTGTCCCATCCCTGCAGTGAGGCGGGAGAGGCCACATGGCCCTGGCGTGCCAGTGGGTGGTGGGGTGCCACCACTGCAGAGGAGCATGGGAGTGGGAAGGGGTCTCACGGGAGAAGGGTTTGGAAAGGAGCCAGCAGGGGGGCCAGTGCAAGCATCAGGAGGGGGCCAAGGCAGATGGCAGATAAAGACCTGTCTCCCAGAGATCAGAGGTGCTAGGGGAGGCAACGGTCTAGGGTCCTGGGACACCATGTGTCCAGCACAGCGGGTGGGGTGAGCATGACTGCCCATGTGTCCCCAACATAATCCCGTGTCAGCCCCAGGTCCACATTCTCAGATGGTTCTCCTGCCACCTGCTTAGACAGTGTCCAGTTTGCTTAGTGTCCCACCTCTCGTCCCCATTCTGTCTTCAGCCCTGCAGGGCCATGTACGCTTCTGAGCATACAGACCCTGGTCTCACTTTACAAAAGTCCCAGAGGCCACTGTACCACGAGAGACAGGTGCAGATAGGAGATTTTGACCTCAGCCCACAGAACCATTTGTCCCTCTGGTGTACACTCTTCCCTGGGCACTCTGAACCTACACAGCTTCAGAGTGAGTCCACAGGAGGCCCTGTAAGTCTCTGTTCCCCCACCTGTGACCTAGAACTAGTGCTCCTTCCTCTCAGGATTGGTCCTGCTTGGCAGAGAGCTGGGTGGGGAGAGAATGTGCTGACCAGCTCTGCCCCCACAGGCACCACCTGTGCCGCGCCCGGCGCTACAGCCATGACGCAGGTGACCACTCAGAGGCTCTGCACGCCCAGGTGGAGCGGCTGGTGCAGCAGGCTGGCCGCCAGGCCGACTCTTCCATCGCCCTCTACTACTTCAACGCCTCACTCTACCTGCTCCGGGTCTTGAAGGGTAACACTGCCGAGAGGTGCATCCGCAAGGCCCAGAAGACACAGAGAGCCAGCGATGACACCAGCCCCAAGCCCAAGGGCCCACAGGTGAGCAGAGCCAGTTCAGCCCCAATAGCCGGGGGCCATCCCAGGACCCAGCCCTCAGCCTCTTGCAGACAGCCCGGGCTCTGCACCTGGCCTCCCCCCAGCTTTCTCTCACCTGGCCCAGACTGCCAGCTGCTTGGACTTGAACCTTGTGACTGCAGTCTACTCGTCAGCGCTGAGCTCCTTCCTGACCAAGCGCAACAGCCCACTCACCGCTCCCATGTTCCTCAGTCTCTTCTCCAGGCACCCAGTGAGTGTCTGGGCTGGCCCTGCCCCTGGGAGCCCCTGCCCAACCCCGTCCCTGCCTCATGGTCCTGTCATTTCTCCCCCAGGTGCTCTGTAAGAGCCTGCTCCCTGTCCTGGTCCTGCATGTAGCAGGCCCAACACGGCCCCGCCATCAGGTAAGGGACTGTCCAGATTCCAGTCTGCTGCCTGCCTGAATTACCCGCTTAAACTTCTGACTGGGCATTGTGAGGCCCCAAGTGCTACCCTGCTGTCTTCCTCTGCCCTGGTTAGTGAGGACACAGCCTGTCCCTGCCCCTGGCCTTGGCTGTGGAGGATGCTCTGGCCCCTCCCCCACTGTAGGCGTGGGGGAGCTGAGTGGGCGGGGCCAGCTTTCTCCTTCAGCTGCCGCTTCCCATCTGGCCTGAGCCCTCCAGCTCCCCTGAGAGCACGCCCTCTGGCCAGCAGACTGGAGGAAGATGGCACTAAGCTAGTGAGAGGCCAGGAACTGTCCCACCCCTATCCAGCTGGGAGCCTTGCCTGCCCCCAGGCCCCCGTGTCCCCCACCTACACAAGAAAGGACAGGGTAGATGATTGCAGAGCCCAGAGCAGCAGGCAGCCACTCATGGACAGCCTAGAGTAGCCATGACCTTTCTGGGTACTTGGCAGGCTCCTAAGCTCTCATTGGTCCCCAAGCCATGACCTACCGGCTGAGGCTCTTGGTAACCACAGTCTCCTTGCCCCAGGCCCAGGCCTGTCTGCTGCTCCAGAAGACCTTGCCCATGCGGGAGCTGAGATCATGCTTTGAGGATCCCGAATGGGAGCAGCTGATTGGCCAGGTCCTGGCGGAGGTCATTGAGGTAACAGCCATGGAGCTTGCCTCCTGCCAAGCCCATCAGGAGTGGGTCTCTGGGATCCAAGGACCTTGAGACTCCTGGTGGGATTTGGGGTTGTCCCAGGAGATATTTCCTCCCTCCGGCTTTAGTCCTATTTGGGAAATGGAAAGGCTTTGGGCAGCTCTGGAGTGCCTCAGCCCAGCCACCTCCTCCCTAGAACCTGCGGACGCTGGGGCAGGCGCAGACCAAGTCGGAACACCAGAGGGAGCTGTTCTCCCTGGAGCTGCTCAATGCACTCTTCAGGACCATCCATCACGAGGTGAGACTGGAGCCCAGTGAGCTGGGTCTCGGGAGGGAAGGAGAGGGCACCATGTCCGGGCTTCCAGGGCAGGATGGAGATCACCAGGCAGGATTGCAGGGGAGGGGGAACCATGGGGGGAAGGTTCTGGGTGCTAGGGTGAGGAACCTGGGCTGTCTTTATGTGGGTGGTTCTAGCACCATGGAGGAAGGCGACTGACTTAGCAAGGGAAAGAGTGCCACACCTGTCTCTGGCAGGGTGGGGGTGAGGGTGTGTTATTGCCAGGTTCCAATCAGAAAGCTGAGAAGGGCCCAGGAGGGCTGGGGACAGTGGGAGGAGTTGGAGGAGATTCTGGGTGGGCAGCAGTTAGGAAGGAGGCAGGGTGTTCAGGCCTGGGGCAAGGGGTGGGCAGGAGGATGCTTGTGGCTATCAGGGCTTTGCAGGACAGCCACTCAGAAGCCATCCTCAGAGTGGTAGTACAGAGGCCGGGAGAGCATGAGTCCTGGAAGCCAAGGGCTTTCAAAGATAACCCCTTTGGTAGGTGGCAGGGAGGGCGAGACAAGGAGGACTTTGGCAACCCAAGGTGATTGAATGATGCCTTCCCAGATGGGCAGGCCAGAGCCACTGCAGGAGGGGTGGGGCTGCTTGGGAAGTGCAGAAGCCGAGGCTAGGCTGTGGGCTGCAGGATAGGGAACAAACATCTAGGCTGTTCCCTCCCCAAATGAGAGGGTCCAGTGGTTCACAGGCGGAAGACATGATAAGGGCCAGGAGGGCCGGTGGTCTCTGGGGAGGTAGCAACTGGGCGAGGGTGGGAAGGCTTGGGCCCAGGAGCCGGGGAGAGGCCCTGCCTCCTATCAGCACTGAGCTGCCGCCTCTTACCCTGTGCAGAAGCTGACGGTGGACCTGACCACTCTCCTGGGTGTGCTGCAGAGCCAGCAGCAGAACCTGCAGCAGAGGGAGCTCTCGACTGGCTCTGGCCGCCTTTACGATCTCTACTGGCAGGCCATGAAGATGCTGGGAGTCCAGTACGTTTGGGGAGGAGCACCCACACCTTGGGAGGGGGCTGGAAAGACCCACCATTACATGCGTGCTGACATGCACACTCACGTGTGGGAGCTTTGCACAGTTTGGAGACCACGCAGTGGAGGTGGTTCCTACTCTCACTGGACAGATTCTTAACTTGCTCACTCCTCCCAGGCGCCCCAAGTTGGAGAAGAAGGACACCAAGGAAGTCCCCAGGGCCATCCAGAGCCCCGTTAGCGTGAAGCAGAAGAAAAAGGGGTTCTTGCCAGAGACGAAGAAGCGGAAGAAACGCAAGTCAGAGGATGCCACGCAGGAGGACAACAGCAGGCCTGCCACAGCCGCCAAGCCTGCAGCCACCGGTGGGGACCAGCCCCCCAGCACAGGCAAGAAGAGGAGAAACAGGAAGAAGGCCAAGGTCCCAGCCCAGTCCCAGGTGAATGGGACGCCTGCTGCCAAGAGTCCAGCCCCTGACACCTCCTCTCTGAGCCCTAGTACTCCTGCCAAGACCCCGAAGCTGCAGAAGAAAACCCAGAAACTGTCCCAGGTGAATGGAGCTACTCCCCTGTTCCCCACAGAGCCTGCAGGCAAGAAGCCACATCAGAAGGCTCTTCACAAAAAGGGGGTCTCGGGCAAGTCACCACAGTCTGCCCTGCCACGCAAAAAGGCAAGGTTGTCTCTGGCCAGCAGGAGCCCCAGCCTGCTCCGGAGTGGGGTCAGGAAAAAGAAAGCTCAGCCAAGGAAGGGGACCGCGCCCTGAGCGCCCTCAGCCCTGCTGCCCCACAGCCCCAGACACACCTGTTTTTTCACCACAGTTTAATAAACAAGCCACAGTCTAAGGCACTAGCTTCTGGCACAGAGGAGTGGGTCTGTTGCCAGCCTGCCAGGGGGTCCCAGGGTACAGAGACCCCTGGTTCAGGCTCCCAGGGCTCTGGTGTTCAGGTGGGTTGGCACAGGTGAACACTGGCTGGGTACAGGTGTCCTGTCCCCAGGCTCTTTAGCTGCTGGAGCCACTGGAGCATGATTTAAATAGGTTTATTTCTTCATTTACAAGAGGAATATATTTGGCTTCTCTCTTGAGACTCTGAGATTCACAATCAGCAGCTCTAAAAAATAAAGGAGCAGTTTAGCTTCCGGAAGGAAGAGGAGGCAACACTTGGACCTGGTTCTTGTACAACAAGAAAACATTGCTGGGGCCCCGGCGGAGGGGAAGGGGGGCTGCTCTTTGGGGGGATACCACCCTGCCCCACCCACCCCCTTGCCAGGCCCCCAGGGTGCCCCAGAGCTTGGTGGGGTGGGTATTCCACTAGCTTACACAGCACTGAAGCCACAGCGCAGCTAGTGACTAAGGGCGAAAACAGCATTGTCCAAGCTGGCTCTTGGGGTCTCCTACTGGCCACAAGGGCCCCCACCCCCACAGAACCAGACCAGAACAACCTTGATTGCTACAAATGTGCAGGAAGTATGTGAAACTGGGGGAAGCTCCCCCAAGGGGGTGTGGGGCTGACGTGAAGTTGGCAGATGCACCCTGGTGTGGCTATGAGGATAAAGGGGGTGTGTGCAGATGGGAGTGGGGCAATTGGAGGCTGGGGTGAAGGCCTGGCTCCCATGGTCATGTGGGGGAGTCGAGCATGTTGGTGTGCGTGAGAACAACAGCAGCCAGTGTGTGGTGGAGGTGGCCGGGGGTGTTGGGCCTCCACCTCCACCAAGCTCTCCATGGGGCAGAAAGCCTCAAGGATGGCTGCTTCCTCTAGCAGCCAGAGCCCTGGCTACTACCCCATGGGTTCTGGGGACGGTTCCTGGGCCCTGCTCTTGGGAAAGGCTCAGCCCAGCCTGGGGAAGAGAGTGGGTTCCTGGCTCATGGAGACACAGGAGCCCTCAGGTAGGTGTAGGCTGGTGGGTAACTCCCAAAGATGGCAAGCCTGGGGCACAGGTGTGCAGCTGCCACCAGGGCCTTCACCCCTGGTACAGTCAGCTCCCAGTCTGGGGATGTCCCACACCTGGGAAACCAGCTGGGAGCCAGCCCAAGGCAATGGAGACAGGTGTCCTCCAGAGTGACTGGCCAGGCAAGGAAGCTCCCAGCAACTTGGGTGCCTGGCTCCATTTGCCAGGTTGAGTCCAACGTCCACAAGCTGAGAGACAGTGGTCCCTGCAAACCAGGCCCTTCAGGGAGCCTCAGAACCTGAGCTGCTGCCCCCAGGCCTGGACCGTCTCTTCTCTGTACAGTCCAGGATCTGTGGGATCTTCAAAGCTGCATATAGTGCTTGGCCTAGCAAGCTGTGTGGGAAAGCCCAGCCCCCTGGCCCCACAGTCTACAGAGGGCAGGGACTTGCCCAACATCACATAAGCCGGTGACAGGCCAGGGTCTCCTGACACTCCCACTTGGAGCTGTCTTCTCCCTTGACCCCAAGGGCCCTGCAGCCCAAACCCAGGGCTGGGAGTCTGTCCAGCTGCGTGGCTCCAACACATACAGCCTTCCCAGTTAGCTGAGGACACAGCTGCTTCTTGGAGCCAGAACCACTCAGCAGCCCCAGGCCAGAGAGGGTGGGCGCCCAGCCGTGGGTCATACACAAAGCTTTGGGACAGTCCAGTGGGTCCAGGATGCCAGAGGACATCTCCCAGACTGGGTAGGAGCATGGCTTCTTCATTGTCCCAGTGGCACCTGGGGGGAGGATATCAGGTTAGAGGTGGGGTTTTCGGGGGCATTCCAAGGCTTCCCCTCCTTTGTTTTCCTTGTTAGGAGAAGCTATTTCCCTGGCTCAGAGCAGTGACCCTGGGTCTTGCACTGCTGGGAAGCTGCAGCTCCCAAAGGCCAGGCCCTGAGGAAGGTCAAGGCAGGATTTGGGCCCTGGCACCTCTAGGAGGATTTGGGAGTAGAGAATCCAGATAGCAGGGAGTTCCTGGCCAGTGCTGACCTGACCTATGCCTCAGCCCTTCTAAGGAAGGAAGGGGGAGCTGATTTACTGGAAGGATCTTCTCTCCCACCCAGAGCTTTGTCAGTAAATTCCAGCCGCATTTCTTAAGAGAAAAGATCAAACCCAAGGCTGGTGGGATGTGCTTAGGCAGGAGGTGACTCAGGAGGAGCACTCCCTGTCCCCTAACCTGGCCTTTCCCTTGCCACCAGGAGTGCTGCCCTCAGCCCCCACTCACCGCCTCAGACCTTCACGGAGGGGGGTGGCAGCACCAGCTGGTTCACCCTGGGGGAGAGACGGGCGGGGGTCAGGGTGGCACGTCAGCGGGGGCCGGGCCCGGGCACTGCTCTGGCGCATCGCATCACGGGGGCCGGCTGACCGGAGGTGCTGGGCAGGGACCTCGTCAGCCCCAGGGGGAGGTGGGAGAGCCCAGGGGTGGGGAGAGGAGAGAGAGAGGAGTAAAGAGGAGAGGAAAAGGAAGTCAGAAAATGAGAAGAAAAGGAAGGGAAGGGGGTCCCAGCTCTGGAAACCCTTAACTCCAGAGAAAACCCAAGTGTAAAACCACTGTGAATGGGCGTGCCACCCGCCAGCCCAGGTGTGACAGAGGCTCATGAGCCACAGGCACAGGAAGGCCTGGGGTCTGGACCCCAGCAGCCAGGTCACCCGTCAGGCACAGGCTAGGTCACTGTGCCTTCCACCCGCCCCAGGACAGGGGTCGTGGCAGGGCTGTCACAGTCCCCGCTTCACAGCGGACGCAGCGGCCCGCCCTCCACCCCCACTCACTGCTGCTCAGCCTTGGCACGGTCGCTGAGGAAGAAGAGCGTGGTGGCGAGGAAGAACATGCCCCCCAGGACCACAACGAAGGGGCAGAGCATGAGGGCGTAGCCCAGGCTCAGGAACTCCCAGAGCGGGGAGTCCTTGGTGCTCTGGCGGATCAGGTCCGAGATCTGTGAGGACCGGGGGTGGTGAACGTCAGGGCAGGGCCACCTCCTGAAGTCCCCCACCCTCCGCAGGCCAGCCCTGCCCCCAGACGACTCACAAAGCCGATGAGGTAGGGGCTTCCAGCGTCCCCCAGCAGGTGGGAGGTGAAGCTCTGCAAGGCCACCGCGGTGGCCCGTCGGGTGGGGATGACCACATACTGCGGAAGAAGTGGACAGGTCAGTGGCCAGAGGAGCCAGGGCCACCCACCTGGCCCCATTGCTGGGGCCACAATACTCCTGAAACCCCCACACCCCAAGACTCACACCTGCCCTGGTGTCCTGACACCTCCCCTCCCCGGGCCCTTTCCCCGGTCCCCTTCTCCTTCCCTGCCCATCCCATGGGCACGGCTGCTCCTCTTGGCTTCAATGGGACCCTCTGCTCTATCCACCCTTTTACTCCTGGAGCCAGGTCTCACCCCCATGCAGATCCATTCAGTCACCACCCGGTCTTCAACCACTCTTTCCCTAGTCCAGACCACTCTTACCTGCCCAGACTGAACCCATCACTGGCCCCCAAGCCTGCCGTCCTCCCTGGACCCCCACTTCAAAGAAATCTCCACTTCCTTCCCCTACCACATCCAGCCAAGGGGAGAAGAATTCGGGGTCACCCTGCCACCAGTCAGCACAGGCCTTTGATGCAGAGCTCTTTGAGCCTGGGGTACCTGAGCCATTAGGAGGGGCAGAGCTGATGTCCTCTGCCAGCTGCCTTAGGCTCTGCACTTGGTTCTGGGTGGGCAGCCCAGTCCTGTGGCCGTGGGGACAGAGGCTCACAGAGGCATGTGTTCCCAAGGAGTCACATGAGTGGTGCAGCTCCGGAACTACAGCCCTGGCTTGTCGGTGTCTTGCCCTCACCTCCCTCATGAGAGACCCATCTTGGATCCCCTCCATGAGGACCAAGCAAGGCCTAGGCTGGCCTGGGACAGGGTAGGGGTGAAGCAGGATCCTGCCTGGAAGAGCCTCCAGTTGTACCCATGGGCACCCCAGCTTCAAATGCCAGCAACTGCTGGGCCCCAGGCCCCCATCAGACCAAGTAGGCCCTGACCCATGGGGGTTGCTCCAAAGTCAAACAGGAGGGGCTGGGACAGAGGAGCAAGGGCAGGCAGCAGCCAGCTCAGTGGTGCCCTGGGGCAGCCCCTGTCCCCCGAGGTCCAGCAGCCTCATCTATTCAGAGCACCAGCCTTAGTGACAATGCATGAGAAGGCTGGTACCTGCTGGGCACCCTGCTGTAGGGGGAGCAATTGGGGGTGGGAAGAGACCTGGATCTGGTAGAATTGCATGGCCCCATTTCCAACAATAATTAGTCACTTGGCTATGACACTTAATAAACTGGGACATGATTTCCCTGGGACACAGACCCTGTGAGCAGCTGTCGGGCTGTCCCTGGGGATGGGGGGGCACTTGATGCAGACACTCCTCCCTCACTCTGGGTCTGTGCAGTGACCCCACCCCACCCCTTGGCTCCATGCTGAGGCATAGAGCTGAGTCAGACCTCCCCACCACCACCACATGGCCCATGGACTGGCAGGGGACAGAGAGAGCCCAGGAGGAAGTGGGTATGCAGCGAAGCCCAGGTGGGGCAAGGCAGGCTTCCTGAAGTCTGCAGGGACACAGTGCCCGGATCTCCTGGGCTGTCCCATGTGTGGCACCAAATCCTAAGCATCCCAAGGGTTGACCTAGGAGTCCCTCCTCCCCCTGCTCCAGGGCCTGCCCAGGCACCTCCCAGACCCTCTTCCCACTGCCGGTCCCCTGCATTCTCTTCTCCCGATCCCCTCCTGACCCTGACCTGGGGGACCCCAAGGACAAGAGTGTCACACCCAGCCCTGCCACCCCCAAACTACCGTAAGCCACTAGGCCCACAGCCCCTCCTGGCTCCTCCTGCTTCCATCCCCACCCAGGGACACAGGCCCCTGCCAGCCACTCAGATAGCCCTTTGTCCCTGGCTGGCTGGTCTGGAGCCCATTGTTGGCCCTGTGAAGACAGCCTCTGTCTGCCTGGCCCCAGCCGCAGGCACTCAGGCAGGCGTGCCTGGGACCCGGGCTGAGCTGGGAGGGCAGCGACCCTGGGGAAGGAGCATTGGCAGGCAGCACCACCTCAGTGCCAGCCTGGCACTGCCAGCCTCCCAGCCATGAACCTGACCCTCGAGACAGCCCCTTCCCCACCTCATCCCCACATCTCTTCCCATCTGCCTTCTCAACCCTCTGTTCTCAGGCCTTGCCCTGACACAGACCCCAAAATCTCTGATCCCCTCCCTTCCTCTGGATTCACCCTCCCAGCAAGCCTTCCTTCCTGCCCACCCCCCACCAAGCCCTGCCAGCTGCCGCCGTGAGGTCAAGAGGCCTGTTCAGCATGAGGCAACATTGGCCTGCCTGGCTCACCATGAGGATGTCTGCGGTGATGGCCCAGTTAGAAAACAGCAGCGTCTCCCCGACAAAGATACAGATCTGCCCAAGAGAGAGCACAGCAACCATCAGGGGGCCTTCCACCCACCTGCAGCCCCAGGCTGCTCCCTGCACACTGGCTGCTGGCAGGAAGCCCCCAAAGCTTCCCATCCCTCCCAGGGGCTGCATCTCTTGATGGTCAGGCTCACAGGGCATTAACAGATTATCCAGAGACTTCAAACCATGCCCACAGCCATGAAGGACACCCAGAGCCCCTGGACAGGCCATGGACAGAGCAGGGAAGGCATCCAGAAGACTGCAGCCTCACTGTTCCAGAGCTTCCCCGGGCCCAGGCCCAGCTCCCCCAGCACCCCTGCCCCCCACTGCACTCACGTAGGCCCCCACGATGCTGCTCTTGGCGGCCACAAAGATCAGGCAGATGAAGATGGCAGAGCCCAGCATGCCCACAGCACACACCAGCGGGTCTGCCCGTTGGGTCCGCAGGCGACACCAGCGTGTGGCTCCTGCACCCGTGACCACACCCAGAAAGCCCGTAAAGCAGGTGATGGCCCCAAAGATGAGGCTGTGGGGACAGAGGACAGTGGGTTGAAGGGGAGCCAAGGTTGGGGCAGAGAGGTTCTCCTGCCCAGTGTCCCTCATCACCCCTCAGGCCCCTCCAGCCTGGCCCCACCTGTCCTCAGCCCTACCTGTCCTTGGCCCCACAGGGTGGGCTGCTGCACGTCTCTGCAGTCTTCTGCACAACTTGGGCGCGGTGCAGGTAGAGCGGGATCCACATGCCCAGGGCCCCTGTGGCGAAGGATACGGCTGACGTGGCCAAGGAGGAGAAGACATAGCTGCGGCTGGGGAGAGGTCGGGGCAGGGACACTGAGCTGGGGCCAGGACCCCCCTTCTGCTACACAAATAGCCCCACATGTCAGGGCTCAGGAGGCCACCTCTTCTCCCCTGGCCTGCTGGCTCACGCCTTCCCACGAGGACAGAAGGTCTCGATTCCTCCTCCCCTTACAGGCTCCCGGGGTGAGGGTTCAGGCTTCAGGAATGATAATCTCCAGGGGCCAAAATGTCACTGCCAGCACTGTGGGCAGCAGAGATGGCGAGGAGCCGCTGAGGGCCCTGGGTGGGCTGCCCTGCAGGGAGGGTCCCCTCTCTTTTCGCACCAGATCCCTCCCAGCAGTACTCACTTTCGGATCAGGGCCTTCATGTCACGGAGCCACGAGGTCCGTGCCTTCAGCTGCCCCCCAAGCTGGTCGGCATGGCCTCTCTTAGTGACAGGGACCAGAATGAGGATGAGTGTTCCTGTGATCATGCCCAGGACAGGGGACACCTGGCAGGGTAGGGAGCACGAAGTCAGGACACCAAGGCCCAGCGGGCTTTGCCTCTGCTGCAATAGGAGGGGTCGTGCAAGCTGCACCTTCTGGGGATCCCAGGCGGTCCTCTGGGCTAGCGTCTACCCAGCCTTCCTGCCTGCGCTGCTGAGCATAGCCACTTGGAACGAGGGCAGTCAAGAGCTTAGGGGCTCAAAATGGACTGTCTGGACCAGGGACAGGAGGGGAGGGGCAGGTGCAGGGAAGACTGACAAGCCAAAGGAAGAAGGGAGAGATGATGGACGGGTGGGTGTGTCAGACCTGTCCCAACCCCTGGGTCTAGAAAAGTTCCGCAGGTGGGTTCCTCACCTCATGGGGCACTGGGATGGGACTGGCTGGCCAGGAAGCTTCCAGCTAATAGGTCAGGTGGACTCTCATTTGGGAGCACAGAGGCTCAGGAGCCCATTTGGATCTTCCCTGTGTCCAGCCCAGTTTCAAGAACGGAATCTCCAAGGTCCCAGGCTTCTCTCCGGACTGGAGGGGGACATCTTGGCAGCCTGGATTCTAACACTCCAGCTCCTCCACAAGCCCATGAGAACAGGGAAATCTGTCCCCACCCCCACCAGGCCTGGGAGCCCATGGCTGGAGAGTTCCCCTCCACGCCACCCCCTTTCACTCCCCACCAAGAAATTCCACGGAGGCTGCTTCCTTCCTGCTTTTGAGGAAAAAACACTTTGTCTTAAGCTTCCGCTCCTCCGAGAGACTGGGGATCTCTGTTTCCTCCGATTGCACTGTCCAGGGGCCTTGGTAACTCACCCCAAACCCTCCAGCGAGACAGGAAGTGGCTCCAGACCCTGGGGGCCCCCACACAGAGGTCTTGTCCCAGCCTCACCCTAGCACAGCACCAGGGCTCAAGCAGGAAGCTGCATCGTGGACCTGGAATTTCCTGACATGGTGGGAGAATCCTTTGTCCTCTCAACCTGGGACTCCCAGGGTGGGAGATTCCAACCCTCAGCCTAGGGCTGCGTCTGGCACCCCTCACACCTGAGCTCCATGACACCTCTGTCTGGACTAATCTAGAAGAGCAAGGACTTCAGAGCCCAGGCCAGCAAGCAAGGAAGCCTGGAGGTCAAAGCCTGGGCGCTAGGCTAGAGTCTCTGGATGATCCTGGGGCAAGGACTGGACTGGGGAATATCCTCATGGGAGGGCACCTAGGCCTTACCCGCAAGGCCCAGTGCCAGTCTCCAGATGCCTGCTTCACGCTGGAGCCAGTGATGTAGCCCAGGCCACTGCAGAGAAGTTGGACACACATCAGGTTGGGCAGAGACAGGGGCTGGGGTGGGGAATGTTCACTGGTCTATAGGGCAGGCCGCCCACCCCACCACCCAGCCAGCTGGCCAGGGAGCAAGCAGGTCCAGGCATTTCTCCAAGGCCGACCGCCGCATGTGTACTTAACTAAGGGCACCTGCCTGGGCTGGAACCTCAGGGACAGGGAATGGTCAGACGCTGAAGGGGACCTTGCCAAGATCCTCACCCAAACCCTGGCATCTCTGGCTCTCACCTGCCCAGTGGGATGGCAAAGTAGAAGACAGACAGCATGAGTGTGCGTGTGTTCTTGGTGAAGAGGTCGCCGATGATGGTGGGCGCAATGGTGGAGTAGCTGGCCTCGCCAATGCCCACCAGCCCCCGCGACAGGACCAGCAGCCAGAAGTACTGTGGGGAGGGGCAGAGAGTGCTGGGAGCCCACCCCACTCCCCCCTTGTTCCCACTTTGCCCTCTGCCCCCTGCAGGGCCAGGAACCAGGGAGAAGGATGGAGCACAACCCATGCCTCGGCAGTGACTGCAGGCCCAGGCCACTCCAGCTTCGGTTTGCCCCACTGCATAGTGGGTCTGACTGGGCCTGGTTGGCCCAGTGCTGGGATGGGATTGGACTTGCCCACACTGAGAGCTGTATGGCCCAGACAGGCCCATCTGTCCCCATAAGCACTGGGAACATAAGCCTGTGTCTCCACCAGCCACCCATTGGGAGACCTCCTCCCTGGGTCTGGCCCCACCTCAGCAGCCTCAAGTCACCCCCACTCTGGGTGCCTCCCAAGCAGGACAGTCGGGCCAACTCTGACAGCACTGAGGGCCCAGAGTGAGTGGGCAGGGCAGCCCAGTGGGCTCAGAGCCCCTCCCCCACAACACATCAAAGGCAAAACCCAGCTGAGCTGCAAAGGGTGGGGCCGTGCCAGCTGCTGGTGGTACTGCCCTTTGATGTGGACCTGCCCCCTCCAGCCCCCCAGCTGCCCAGGGCCTGAGAACTCAGCCTGGTCATCTTTCCCCAGCCCCACCCTGACCATCCATCCGGCCAGCATCGCCCACATCCAGCCCTCCCTGGGCCTCCCCAATTCCTCTCTCCACCCCATCTTGCCCTCTGCACGCACAGGGCACTGCCCAGCGTCTCTGACCTCCCACTGCTGTGCTGTTCACCCTCTCACGCTCCCCGTCCCCTTCCCCACTGAGCTCCACGTCTCTGTTTCTCTTCCTGGGAATCAACCACCCACAGCCTTTGCCTATTTTTCTGATGGTGGTTTGTCTTTTTCATATTGATTTATATTTGCTTTTTCTACATAACAGGTATTGATCCTTTATCCTCTAGGTCACAAATATTTGCAGTCATTTTCTTTCAACTTTATGGAGAGTTTCCCCATCCAGAGTCTTCATGTTGGTTTGCTTAACCTGATGCTATCAAATCTGTTGATTTTCCTTAATGGCTTCTGGATTTCACATCTTGTTCAGAAAGGCCTACTTCATCTCAAAATTATGAAAATGTTCTCCTACATTTATGTTGGTGATATTTTAGAGGGAGAGAAAGAGGATGGGAGCAATTTCATCGATCATGCTCATGCACTAGCAGACAGACGGCTCCTGCTCATCCCCCTCCACCCACAGGCACCGCTGTACCGTGTATGCGCCGCGCACCCATCTCTGCCTGAGCTTGCACATACAGGTACCAAAGAACCACACCAGTGTCTTCCGTGTGGTTTTAAAAAATGGACATAAAAGGAACCAACCGTTCCATGCATCTGATCCCACAATTTGCTTTTCCCCTCATTCTTATCCTTGTGAAACCCATTTATGCTGGTTAATACAGATGCAGTTCATTCTTTCGCTGTCAAGAATCTCACAGTATGAATACACCCATTCATCTGTGCCTGCCCAGTGATGGTCACTTAGATTGGTTTCCCGTTTTATTCTATTAGAGTACTGCGAGGAACATCCTTGCACACGTGTGTCCACAAGCTGGAGTTTCTCTCTCGGGTATATACCTGGAAGTAGAAGGCTGGACCGTGGGAGGTACACAGAATTTCACGATATCTTGCCACTTTGCTCTCCAGAGAGGCACTACCAATTTACACTCCCATCAGCAGCGCCTGAGTCCTTGATTCCCCACAGCTTTAATAACACTTGGTATTGTCAGCCTTTTTAATTGTTGCCAATCGGATGGGTGTGAAGTCATATCTCATTGTTGTTTTAATTTGCATTTGCCTGATTACTCGAGAGGCTGAGCACCATTTCGTACTACATGAATTGGTGGTTTGGGTATCTTCTCCTGGAATTGCCTATAACTACCCTTTGCCCATTTTTCTACTTGAGTTATTTGTCTTTTTCTTGTTGATTTATAGTTCTAGATTTTTAGAGTTTGCTTTTGCTGTACTTTCGCCTAGCTGGATTTTATGTTGCAGTATGGTTTGACATGCAAACCAAACTTTTTCCAGTCCAGATGGGTAGTCAGTTCTCCCCATACCTCGTGTCTGAGATGCAACTTCCATCCTACAATAAATGCCTGTAGAAACAAGGACTCCGTTGCATAGCTCTGTCAGTCTATCCCTCCGCTGTTTTAGTTAGAATAGTCATATTTTAATAACTGAGAGGGTAAATTCCCTTTTATGTTGTTTTCACAATGTTCTTGGCTGTTCCTGGCATTTTCTCTGCCAAATTAATTTCAGAATCACATTGCCAAGGTCCACCAAAAACCCCCCATGGGACTCGGATTGTGACTGCAATGAATTTACAGACTACTTGGGGCCGGCCTGGTGGCGCACTGCTACAGTGCGCTGCTTGGGAGCGCGGCGGCACTCCCGCCGAGGGTTCGGATCCCACATACAGACCGGTTCCGCTCACTGGCTGAGCGAGGGGCGGGCACAGTACCAAGGGTTGCGATCCCGTTGCCGGTCCCAGTCCGGTATGGGCGCGACACTGAGGGTTGCAGTCCGTTGCCGGACACGAAAAAAGACAAAAAGGAAAAAAAAAAAAAGAATTTACAGACTACTTGGAAGTGATCTTTCTTTGCTTCTGCGCATCTTCTCTCCCTGGCCCCCTACCCTTCCATACACCCAAAGGAGGGCCCAGCCAGGCTTCATGATCCTGGACTTATTGGTCAGTCCCAGAGGTCAGCGACCAGGGGCCTGGCCAGGGGCAGCACAAAGCCCAGAGAGGCCCTAGAGGCTTTGGTTCAGTCCCCCCCCCGCCCTTTTTTTCCCCCAGTAGAGTAGGTACTTATTTCTTACTCACGTAAATTTTAAGTAGAAGGTTTTGCTTTATTTTTTTATTTTTATTTTTTTTTAACAAAAGACCGGTAAGGGGATCTCAACCCTTGGCCTGGTGTTGTCAGCACCACGCTCAGCCAGTGAGCAAACCGGCCATCCCTATATAGGATCCGAACCCGGGGCCTTGGTGTTATCAGCACCGCACTCTACCGAGTGAGCCACGGGCCGGCCCAAGTAGAAGGTTTTGGAATAGAGTTGGGAAGATCTCTGCTCTCCCAAGGCCACCCTGGGTGTCATCTACACTTTAGTCAAAAAGGACATAAGAAATCAGGGCAGACCACATCAACATTCGCTTGTTGCCAGGCTGGAAAGTCATGATGATCATTTGTGTCCATATTCCCCTGGACAGAGCTCAGTCACATGATCCCATCCACAATAATTAGAGGCTGAGAAATGCAAGATGTGTGTCCAAGAGAAAGGAAAAGGATTTGGGGAGAACACAAGGCCAGTCTCTGCTACAGGAGATTTCTCCCCTGGGAAGCCTGCTTCTCTGAAGCCTGCTGAGGTGTGACTTCTGGTTATGTGTTTTTCCACACTCATTACATTTACAGGGTTTTTCCCTGTGTGAATTCTCTGATATACAAGAAGGGCTGACTTACAGCAGAAAGTTTCCACATACTCTTCACATATGTTGACTTGGTTTCTTTCCCGTGCAAGTTCTCTGATGTACAGTGAGGCCAGACTTCTGCTGGAAGGTTTGCCTGCACTGTGTATTCATAGGGTTTCTCATCTGTGTGAATTCTGATGCCTGCTGAGGTATGACTTCTGCAAAAAAGGATTTCTTGCATTCACTACATTTAGAGGGTATTTTTTTCATGGTTTTCTTGTGTATTTTTTTTTATGTTAAATATCTTGATTTTTCCTGTATATTTTCTGATGCTTAGTGAGTTCATACTGTTTAGAGAATGGTTTCCTACATACATCACATTTAAAAGTTTTCCTCCCTGAGTTATTTCTTGGGCAGTGAGAGCTGACTTATCACGGACTTTCCTAAGTTCATTATATATACAGGTCCTCCCATATAAAATTCATGTAATTATGTGTAAATAATATTGGCTCTGTGTTGAAGGCTTTCCTTTATCTACTATATTCAAAAGGCTGTCGCCCAGTTTGAATCTTGTAATGCTAAGATGCTTACAACATCTGAGGGGTTTCCCAGTTATATTACCGTCATTGGGTTTTCTTTCCAGCACAGTCTCATCAGGCTGTCCAGGAAGATGCACATGCTGATATCCATCACACTCCTCAGGCCCCATCGTGAATAGTTCCCATTATTTATCATCAGTTTTAACATATTTGAGCTCAAAATAAATGTTTTTCCTAACTCAACTCTCTTCTCAGCTGATGTTTTGCTGTTGGTGATTACAACTGGACACGATGTCTACCGTGACTTTCTTGGCTCCTCTGCATTGGGTCGACTGTCTGGACATCTCGTAGGCTCTGGCTGAAGACCACCTGAGGTTTGGTAAGGCAGTGCCCCACTGACGCCAGGCTGCTGTAGGTCTCCAGCATCACATCCCTACACAGCGTCCTCTGAGTGTCATCCAGGTCCTGCCACTCCTCCCAGATAAAGTCCACAGCCGCATCCTCAAACGATACCAACCCTGGAGGTTTATTCATCTTTTGTTGCTCCTAGAAACGCATAGAGCACTCCGGCAACATAACGCCATGGACACAGAAACCAAGCCCACCACCTGCGGATCATTGTGAGCCAGTCCCTATTTTTGACTGCAGTCACCAAGCTCTACCTGCCACTCTGGGCCTGGAGCCCACCTGGGCCTGACACTCCTCCATGAAGCTGCCCCACAAGGCAAAGTTGTCCCTGCTAACCTGTCAGTTCCCTCTGCCCTCACCTCCAATCTCCCCTCGATCAGTGTCAATCTGACCCCACCACTGTCTCCTTAAAACTCCCGCAGAGCTCAGCACTGTCCTAGGAGGAGGCCCAGGCCCTCCCGGGCCTGGCATTCAAGGCTCTCCATGGCCCAGAGCCTGCCTTCCTTTGCAGCCAAAATGCTCTCCCCCACATTCTCTCAACACACTCAACCATTTCTGCATCTCTGGGTTTCCTCCCTCTGCCCCTGCTATCTTCACCAAAGGCCTGATCTCCTAGTCCCGCCTGCCCAGCTCAAATTCTGCCTCCTCCAGGAAGCCTTCCCTGACCCTGTGTATTTCGAGAGACTGCTCTCTGGTATGCAGGGACTCTCAGCACTTTGTCTGCACATCTTGAAGGCTCTACGCATGGGAGCTCCTCTCACATTTTCCCACCCCCAAGCCCGGGTGCTTTCAAGGACAGGGCCAGACTGAAAGTTCCCTGAGGACAGATCCTGGTCTTCTCTCCTTCTTCTTCCATCTCTCTCTACAGCCCCTGTCATGTAATTTCCATGCTTGAATACCCCCAGCACTGGGAAACTCATTACCTCGCAAGGTAACATATCTCTTCTTTGGAAGAAAGAACAGAAATCATGATTTATTTAACACCCACCATATTCCAGAGTCTGGATATTCACTAGTTCAGTTATCTCTCATAAGAAACCTGCAAGCTAAGAAGTATTATCCCTATTTTAAAGATGAGAAAACTGAGGCTCAGAAAGGTTAAGTAAGTTTTTCCAGGTCACAAAGTGGAGTGGGCAACAAAGTTTGGACTGTAAGAGCCAAGTGAGTGACATCTCCTTTATGTTGAATTGATGTTTGCCTCCCTGGGACTGTGACCCAAGGAGTTCACTGGTCATCAGACAAAGAGCAAATCGAGCAAGAACCAGAGAGGGGTAGTGACTCACCTAGGTTCCCACAGCAAGGTAAGGGCAGAGCCAGGACTAGAACCCAAGACCTTCGGCCTTAGGCCAGACTTGCTTCCCCTGTTCCCAGCATCCTTCCCAAATCAGAGGGCAGCTCTCCGAAAGCCAGGATGGCAGACAGGGCTGCAAGTCCCTTGGTTGGACCTATCTTCAGGGCTGGTTTATAAAAGTACCCAAAGACTAGCCACCTACCAGAGGGAGCAGGACACAGGGATGGGAGGAGCAGGGACGCTGGTGGGAAGCCAGGGCAAGCCTCACCTGCTGGGGGATGAAGGAGCTGGAGAAGGTGACCGCCGACCAGAAGAAGATGCCACAGCTGAGGATCACCTTTCGGTTGAAGCGGTCACCCAGGTAGCCGAAGATGGGGGCAGCCACCATGAAGCTGCAGATGAACACTGTGGGGAGAGGAGAGCTTGAGGGGCAGCCCAGGTCCCTGCAGTCAGGCCACCTGCCCACACTGCCCCAGCCTGTGGGACCAATCTCAGCCCGGGCCGGGGCCCGAGGCAGCAGCCCAGAGAGGGCTTGCTGGGCTAGGGCGACAGCGCAGCTCCACCATCTCCAGGGCATGCCCACGGTTTGCTCAGTTTCAGGTGAGCCCCTTGTGCACTTTGTAAAAGAGTAGAGATCTCTTCATGGACCACTTTCTACATGCCAGTTGCTTTGCCAGGGCTTACCACTCAGTATCTGGTGTATCTTTCCAACCCACCACACCAACGAGGAGACAGACTCAGTGGGGGAAGTGACATGCCCAAGGCCCCACAGGCAGTAATGTCCCCATGGGGATTTGACCCCCTGTCCCTCTGACTCCGGCCTGTGTTCCTTATACTTTGCCACACTGCTCCCCTCGTTATACTTGCTGCTGTGGACTGGAGGCCCCCCCAGCCTCACTGAGGTTTCATCCTCACTGTGACTGCCGAGGGTGGGAAATCCTACTATGGCAATTGAAAGGTGGGGCCTTGGGGCCGGACCGCGGCTCACTGGGTGAGCGTGGTGCAGACAACACCAAGGCAAGGGTTAAGATCCCCTTACTGGTCATCTTTAAAAAAAAAAAAAGAAAGGAAAAGAAAGGTGGGGCCTTGAAGAGGTGACTGAACTCTAGGACCATCCTGTACTGAATGGATTAATAACGGTGGCCGTGGGCGTGGTTCTGAGGGCTTTAAAGAAGAGCACAGGAGAGGTTAGTCTCTCTCTGCTCTGCCATTTTCTGCCATGTGAGACCCCTCCATTGCTGTAAAGCCACCGCCAGAGAAGACCCTCACCAGATGTGTCCCCTGGACTGTGGACTTTCCAGCCTCCAAAACTGTAAGCAATAAATTCTATTTTCTTATAAATCACCCGGTTCCAGGTATTTTATTATAAGCAAGAGAAACAGACTAATACACTTGGCAAAGAGGTTCAGAGAAGGAGGGGATCAACCCAAGGTCACACAGCAAATCAGGGCAGAACTGGGCCTGGAACCCCAGGTCTCACGCTTGCCAGGTCACACAGCCACCCCTGTTCCTAGTGGCTGGCAGAGGCTTTCCTGACAGTTAGAAACATTGTCATTCTTTCACTCAACCATCCATTTATTCAACAAAAAACAATTTTCTCACCTACAGTGCACCAGGCACTGTTAGGTGTTTGGGATACATCAATGAGCAAAGCAGACAAAAATTCCTGCTGTCTTAGAGCTTTCATTCCAGTGAGGAGAAATAGACTAAATAAATAGATAAATAAATAACATAATATGTCAGATGGTGACAAGTGCTAAGGAGAATAACGTGGCAGAAACAGGAGACAGGAACTGTATGTGTGTATGAGACAGAGAGAGAGAAAGCAGATGTTAGAATTTAAATAGGAGGATGAGAGAAGGTGACATTTTAGCAAAAACCTAGAGGAGATAAGGAAACAAATCATGCAAATATTGGGCCAAGAACAGTAAGTGCAAAGGCCCTGGGGCAGGAGTGCACTCAGCACGTCTGAGGAACAGCAAAGAGGCCACAGTGGCTGCAGCAGAGGGACCGAGGCGAAGGGGTAGGAGATGAGATTGAAAGGCCAGATGGGGTAGGACCTTGTGGCCCACTGTGATGACTGTGGCTTCCACGGGTGAGAAAGGAAAATGCTAGAGGATGCTGAGCACAGGAGTGACATGACCAAGTTCTGTTCTTCCAGAACAAAACAATGATAGAGTCTTAGAGGACTCCATGCGGGGGGGCCACTGTCAGTGATGGGAGGGGCCTTGGAGGTCCCAGGTGGGATGAAGGGCCCCAGAGCAAGGCAGGACAGACCCTAGGTCACACAGCAAAGCAGCCCCCATCCCATCCCCCAGAAGGCAGTCCCACAGCTGATGGGCAGATGGCCAGACAAAGGCCAGGGGTGGGCAGACAAGGCAGCCACTTGGCTGGCCTCTGACTGCCGGACTGAAAGTACACAGGGGCTCGGCTGCTCCCCTACGGACCTGAGTCCCCGGGGAGGCAGAAAGAGGGAGGTGAGGATGGAGGAAAGGAGGGAGGTGGACAAAGGAAGAGAGGCTGGGCAGAGGTCCCTGGACTAGGCTGGAGGAATACGACTGCCCCTCTTAATCTAGCAAGAACAAGATAGTGACTGCGTGTGGACACAGGGCAGGGGAACCTGCTAATCCTAAGTCTGTGTGATTTGGGGTTGGGGCCTTGGGCAGAATCGGCATAGAGGTGCTCGAATCTGGGAACCAGAGATATACTGCCCGGGCTCGAATTCAGCTCTGTTCCTTCCTAGCTGGGTAACCTGGGGCAGGTCACAAGCTTTCTGTGTCTCAACTTCCGTGGCATGCTGATAAATGTCTAACCATTGGACATGCCTCTAAAAAAGGGGCAGGGGAGCCCTGATACATAGTGTTTGCCAGTTTTGGTGATGTAAATATTCCCACCATAGCTGATTTCAAGCTACTGATGTGATGTCACTGAGCAGAGCTGGGAAACGATGTGCAGTAACGCGCCACCTTAAGGTACTCCTGCCATGCGGGTGAAAGAGACGTGATTCACCTTAACAACACTGACAATAGTTCAACACAGTCAGATAACTAGGAAGTGATGACTTTTGAGTATTTATTTCCTTTCCTTAATAGAACTCATTTAATTGTGTTTATATAATTTAGTTTTTAACAATGGTTGTGTTTAACAACCAGCTCACACAATTCCTGAAAATGTAACAATCAACTCTCATGAGCCAGTGTAAGCCAAAGCCAGCACGCCCACTTCCTCATCTGTATTTGAAGGTAAAAATAGCAACTCCGCAGGGTTGCTCAGAGTACTGGATGAGATAACGCCCATAAGGTATTTAATTAAGGCCACACCCTGCCCAGAGTGGGCCAGCCTCTGTCAACACTGGGCCCTTGTTTAGTCAAGGCAGAAATTATTTCCTCACATCTAGAAAAAGAATTTTTCCTGCTGGGCTGGCCTCTCAGGACCTACCTGAGATCCGATGAGGACATGGGCAGGAAGGAGATTTCCAGCCACATCAGGACTTATGCATGTTACAGGGAGGAGGAAAGAACAGTTCTCTCTGTGCCTGTCTGTGCTAGCTGGGAGCAGACAGAAAGAATCAAAGTAGGAGTTGCCCCCTGTCTGGCCAGGGGGCAGATCCTGTCCACGGGCTGCCCCATTTAAAGGACTAAAATGCTGGGGAACCAGCCAGGAGCACCAAATCCTGCCAGACAGTGAAGGGAGGCTTCATGGAGACCGTGATGTCAAAGCTGGGCATTGAAGCATGCATAGGAGTTCACCATGATGATAATACTTAAAGTCATAACGTATACTAAAATATAAATTCCAAATATTATAAGCAATACCGTATAATGATCAATGAGGCATAATGCTTACTGTGAATAACAACTGCAGTTATCATTAACAGAGCACTTACTACAGGTGAGGCTCGGGGATGTACCCTGGACGTATGCACAGATTATCTCACTATTATCTTCATCTCACAGAGGAGACAACAGAGGCTGACAGAAGTGATGTCACACAGCTAATGCATGGCTGAGCCAGAATTTAAACCTCAATTTGGCCGACTCCAGAGTCCTTGCTCTAAATCACATCACAGACTGCCAGGCTGGGGAGGGGGAAGGTCCCAGCTGATGTTCCCAAGCTCAGAGAAAGTTCAGGGTGTATTGGGGACAGCAAGGAGACGGGTCAGGCTGCGGCGTGAGAAGGTTGTGGAGGGAGGCTGGGCCCTACAGACCAGGACCAGGTTTGGTTTTTAGTTACAGGGTAATGGAGAACCTTAGCATGCTCTGTTCTCCCCATCAAGGTAGAGAAAAGCCCCCACTGGGTGGGTAGAGAGGGACCGAAGTCAGGCCTTTGCCAGACCTCGGCCATCCTGGTCCATCCCGGTCCATCCCCAGCCTCCTGCTCACAGCAGAGCAGGAAGGCAGCCCCTCTTGGCTCTTTGACCTCTGGCTTTCTGGCTGCATAGGTGGGTAGAAGCATCCAGAACCATAGGCAGACTCCTGTCAGAAGCAGGCACACCCCAACGCCGCCTGCTGGCCCCAGTCTGACGAAGGTCACCAAGCACCGGCATGCCCTTAGCTCACCTGAGCCTCATCACGTCTGACCCCATTTTACAGCTGGGGCCACTGAGGTCCCACAAGGTAAAGGAACCTGCCCAAGATGACATAGCAAGACAGGCAGGGACAGTCTGGACACTGCCTGCCCCCTCAGTGCCTTCTCTCTGGGGACAAAGGAGTCTAGGATCAGGAGGAGATGGGAGCCATCCTTGTGAGGATCCGTCCTGGCCCTGAACACAATCGGGAAGACTGTTCTTGGCAAGAGAAGCAGCACAGGCAAAGGTCTGCACACGGGGACCTTGCCCCAATGGGGACATATTGACTCATCCAGCCGGCAGGCAGCTCTGTTGAAATAAAGACCAGCACAGGCCGGGCCCCCAGGCTAGAAGCTTCCCCTGCCCACCACCCTGCAACCCCGTGGTCTTTGTTTGTTTGAGGAGAGCTTTCTGGGCAGACTGGCTGCCCCACCCCTGATTTTGGTAGGGGCGGCTTTCCCAGCAGTTCCCGCAGCGCGCCCAGGGCTTCCTGCGGTGGGTGTGGGGAAGCCCTGCTCGTCAGCTCACGTGTGCTGAGCCCACAGGTCTGGGACAATGGAGCTGTGGGGCAGGGAGCCAGGGCAGAGGGGGCAGGGCCGCAGACAGCAGCCAGGGAGGAGTCGGGCACACACCTCGCTCCCTCCTCCTCACAGGGCTGGCGAGAGGCCATCAGAGAGACGGGGGATGGACAACATGCCCAAGGTACTGTCCACCTCTCATAGTGGCCCCAGAGCTCACCACTCACTGACAGCACCCAGAAGCTCGGAATAACCTCCACTGGGGACTCCGTCCTGGTAGGCAGCCTCAGGACCCCGTCCATGGTGGGGGAAGCCACCTG